CTCCTTCTGGGATTTTGGGTAAGCCTGTATATGTGACAGGCATGTTTTTCAAGCCACAGGTCCTGGACTTCAACTACAGCTGCACAGTCAGCCGTGTGAGGTCCAGCTGCCTTAACCGTCATGTTGCCTGGCCGGCCCTGGTTGTTGTTATTATTTTTGTTTAGATTATGCAGGGGACCCAGACAAGCAAGGCAGCTCTGCTATTCTCCCCCTCTCTCTCTCTCTACACACACACACACACACACACACACACACACACACACACACGTGCTCCCCAGAGAGGCAGAGAGAGACAGGAAGAAAACACTCCAATGGGGAATGGTCACACCACAATCTCTCCTCCATCTCTTTATCCTTTCAAGATTGGGGTGGCAGTTTTTCAAGCTGCTGGAGCTGGGATTCAAACCATTCACTTGGCCACGTGGAATCCAGCTCCCTTAAACTACTAGGCTACTGGGCCAGCCTAACATACTGGTTTTAAAACAGTTGTAGGGCCTGTAGATAGTGTGGTGGTTAAAGTGCTTGACTCTCAAGTGGTTGACCACAGTTCAAGTCCCAGACCCGGCATCTTGAAAATCACTCCAGGCACGTGTGCATGCCCAGACTCCTAAGAGGAGATTGAAAGAGAAAGAATCACGGTGTGCCCGTCCCTGCAGGGAGGTGATTTCTCTCGTGCATGCACAAGTGCATGTGCCCTACAGCGAGAACCTTAAAAACCAAAAGTGTAGATAGTTGCAGTCATGACCCTCTGGGATGAGCAGACAGGTCAGGGGACCAGAGCACAGGGCAGGTATCTGTGAGCAAATGGTGGCGAGATGGCAGTCACACCTGCTCACATCTCATTGGTGAGAACTTAGAGGGCTGGTGGGTGCGGTTTCTCGCTAGACTGTCCAGTGCCCTGGAAGATGAGAACAGTTTGGTGGCAACCGTCAGTCTGTCCAAGTTATCCCCACTGGGCTGTGCAAGGCCTCTCCCCTATTCCCATGTATGAATTCATTCACTGCCGTCTTTTCTTGCCACACCACACTTCTTCCCATGCACCTTGGCAAACTACTGTGTCCGTAGTACATGTTTTTGTTTGTATTTTTGGAAAAAATGTGTGTGTGTGTGTGTGTGTGTGTGTGTGCGCGCGCATGCGTGTGTATTCTCTTTCTTTCTTTAAATTTCGTCAGATAGCACACGTGCTTCCCGGGAAAAGAGAGAGAAATGAAAAAGCATCCTCCTCTGGGGTTGGTCACGCCACAATCCCTTCTCCTCCTTTCTCTCTTCTCTGAGGCTTTGGAGCACACACCTGTGCCCAGAGTGTTTCTCAAGCTGCTGGGTCTGAGACTGGAACCACTCAGTCGACTGTGTGGGATCTAGCCTCCTTAACCACCACGCCGGCTTGGTCAACTTTGAGGTTCAGTTATAGCCACCTGATCTTGGACAAAAGAGTAAACGTGATTCCATGGGAAAAGACGAGTCTTCTCAACAGATGGTACTAGAATAATTGGATGCCAAAGGGGGAAAATTTCAGGCATAGACTTCATACTCTTTGTAAAAATTAACTCAGTATAAGTCACAGGCCTAAATGTAAAGCACAAAATTATAAACTTCTAAGGAATAAATAAATAAATAATGAGAGAAAATCTACATGGCTTTGGCTATGAAGTTTTAGATAAAACACCAAAAAAGTGATTCATAGAAAATATTAGTAAGTCGGACTTTTAAATTTATTCAAATTTAAAATGTCCAGTCTGCAAAAGACTGTTAGGAGAATGAAAACACCAGACTGGAGAATGTTTACAAAACACAAGTCTGACGAAGAACTTGTATCTAAAATATACAAAGAACGTAGCTACTTTGCCAATATCTTTTTTTTTTATTTTGGAGGGGTTTTAGCTATAGGGCGCGTGCACTCACCAGAAAGACAGAGAGAGACAGAGAGACGGAAAGCGAGAAATCACCCCCCGGGGGGATGGCCACATCGCAATCCCTTCTCCTCCTTTCTCCTCTCGGGATCTTGGGCACGCACGCACACATGCCTGGCGTGAATTTAAGCCATAAAGTCTAGGACTCGAACCGCAGTCGACTTCATGGGAGTCCAGTGACATAGCCATTACACTAACTGCTGGTCCCGCCAATATCTTTTTATATTGTTTTTCTAATTTTTTGTTTTCATCTTTTTGCTTACCATTGGCCTGTTTTCCAAACTGTTATTATTTAGTAAATTACCTAGGTTTGATACCATATCTTTGTTATTATAAAACAGAGATAGCTAAACTTTTTGTGATCTATCTTTCCTTTGTTTCACCTTTTTTTTTTTTTTTTTGGAGAGGTTTTCGCTATAGGGCACGTGCGCTCGCCAGACAGACAGAGAGAGAGACATAGAGACAGAAAGCGAGAAATCACCCCCCATGGGGTATGGTCATGCCACAATCCCTTCTCCTCCATTCTCCTCTCGGGATCTTGGGCACGCACCCACACGCCCAGCGTGAGTTTTAAGCCACCGGGTCCGGGACGTGAACTGTGGTCGACTACATGGGAGTCCAGCAACATAGCCATCACGTTAACTGCTGGTTCTCCTATTTCACCATTTTTTTGTAATAGGTTTTTACCGGGAGTCCAGTGCACTCACCAGGGAGAGAGAGAGAGAGAAACAGAGACAGTGAGAGGAAAAGTGAGAAATCACCTCCTGGGGGATGGCCATGCCGCAATCCCTTCTCCTCCGTTCTCCTCCTAGGATCTTAGGCACATGTGCACGTGCATCTGGTGTGATTTTCTAGCCACCAGGTCCGGGATTTAAGCCACAGTTGGCCATGTGGGAGTCCAGGGATATAACCACTATGCCATCTGCCAGCCCATGTTTCACCTTTTTCTAAACATATCTCATTCGTATTTGGAAAGATACACACATGTGACATGGTGTTTTGTTTTTTTGAGGTACTATTGTGTATACATTTTCAAATTGTCAACATACATAATAAATTACACAAATATGTGCATTTATTTATTTTTAAATTTTTAATAATTATTTATTTACTTTCATTTATTATTATTATTTTTTAATTTGACCAGAGAGAGGCAGAGACAGAAAGAGGAGGAAAGTGAGAAAGTGAGCTGCCAGGTCTGGGATTCGAACCGTAGTCAGCCATGTGGGAGTCCAACACCTTAACCACCACGCCACTTGCCGGCCCCATGTGCATCTATTTAAATGTTTATAAAAGATATTAAGTTATATCATTATGCTTTTTTTGTTAAAGAATTATTGGGACCAGCAGATGGCGTAATGGTTATGCTGTTGGACTCCCACATGACCTACCATGGTTTGAGTATCAGATCTGGTGGCTTGAAACTCATGCCGGGCATGTATACTTGTGTGCCCCAAATCGGGAGAGAATAGAAGAGAAGGGATTGCAATATGGCCATCCTCCCTGGGGGGGGATTTCTTGCAATCTGTCTCTCTGTCTCTCTGGGGAGCACATGTACCCTATAGCAAAAATCCCTCTCTTCAAAAAAAAAGAATTATTGGGAACCAGCAGTTAGAGTAATAGCTATGTCGCTGGACTCCCATGTAGTCGACCGCGGTTCACGTCCCGGACCCGGTGGCTTAAAACTCACGCCGGGCGCGTGTGCGTGAGTGCCCAAGATCCCGAGAGGAGAATGGAGGAGAAGGGATTGTGGCATGACCATCCCCCCTGGGGGGTGATTTCTTGCTTTCTATCTCTCTGTCTCTGTCTGCCTGGCGAGCGCACGCGCCCTATAGCAAAAATCTCTCAAAAAAAAAAAGGAAGAAAGAAAAAGAAAATCACGCCAGGCACAGAGCATGCATGCTCAAAATCCCAAGTGGAGAATGAAGAAGAAGGGATTATGGCATGGCCATTCCCCCTGGTGGGGGATTATTTTTCTCTCCCCCAATTCTGTCTCTCTCTGGCAAGGGTACGTGTCGAATAACAGAAACTAATAAATAAATAAATACAATTTAAAATTTAAAAATAATAGTAGGTAATGAGGCCATGAGGGCTCCAAGGCAAGCCTGGCCCTTCTCACCTCCCTTTGCCTCTGCTCTTGCCAGGTGCTGGCACCCTGACCTTGGACTTCCCAGCCTCAGGGACGATGGGAAACAAATGTTTCTTCCTTCCAAGTACAATATCCGCATTTCACCAGTCTTCTCTGCTGCACAGGGACAGTTGATTGTCCCCAATCGCCCCCGGCAATACTAGGGCAGCCAGGAGCGTCCTCATCCATACCCGGTAGGCCTGAGATGGTTTCCACGGTCTCGCCGCCAGGTGAGGGCCTGTGGGTCCTCCCTGTGTGAGTCATCATCTCCGCGTTGCCAGCGCTCTCCCTCGTGGCCGCAGCCGCAGCCTCACCAGCAGCGTGTTAAGGAGCCTGTGTCCCCACACACCGGCCGACATGACATTTTCAGCTTTCTGATTGCTGCCAAGCTAATAGGTATAAGTTGGTATTTCATTGTTTTAAGTTGAACTTTTGTGATTACTAACCGTTTTAATCATTAATAGTTACCTTCAGGAGCCAGAGGGTGGCGCAGTGGTGCCACATCTAGACCCACATGGGCAAGGTCTTGGGTGTGTGTCCCAGGGCCTCCTGGAGCAGGCTGGGTGTGCACATGCGTCTGGTGACCTGGGCCTGCTGAGAGGGGAGGAGCACAGCATGAAGACCTTGTGGAGGGTCTCTCCCCATCCCCCTTCCCCCGCCGCCTCCCTTTCCTCAGGGAAAAATAAGTAAATACATTTTTAAAGAAAATTTTTCCTGTAGACAGTCCTTGGTGTTCTTTCTTTCCAGCATAGGCCGGGCAGAATGGCTCCCGTAAAGAAGGGTGGCGAGGAGAAGGGCCGTTCTGCCGTCAAAGAGGTGGTGACCCAGGAGTACACCATCGACGTTCACAAGCGCATCCCTGGCCTGGGCTTCAGGGGAAAAATAAGTAAATACATTTTTAAAGAAAATTTTTCCTGTAGACAGTCCTTGGTGTTCTTTCTTTCCAGCATAGGCCGGGCAGAATGGCTCCCGTAAAGAAGGGTGGCGAGGAGAAGGGCCGTTCTGCCGTCAAAGAGGTGGTGACCCAGGAGTACACCATCGACGTTCACAAGCGCATCCCTGGCCTGGGCTTCAGGAAACGTGTCCCTCAGGCACTCAGAGAAATCCGGAAATTCGCCACGAAGGAGATGGGGACTCCAGGTGTGCGCACTGATACCAGGCTCAACACAGCTGTCTGGGCCAGGGGAGTGAAGAACGTCCCACATCGTCTCCATGTGCGGGTGTCCAGAAAAGGAAACGAGGATGAAGATTCACCCAACAAGCTGCGCTCTGGTGACCTGTGTACCTGTTACCTCCTTCAAAAATCTGCCGTCAATGTGGATGAGAACGAACTGCTGATTTTCAAATGAAGGTATAAAAGCAAAAAAAAAAAAATTTTTTTTTTCCTGTAGAGCACATGAGCTCCCCGGAGAGAGACAGGAATTGAGAGAGACAGAGAGAGGGAAAATGAGAAATCACTCCCTAGGGGTGGCCATGTTACAATTCCTTCTCCATTCTCCTCTCGGGATTTTGGACATACACACATACTCACCCAGTGTGATTTTCAAGCTGCCAGGTTCAGGGCTTGAACTAAACTCAACCATGTGGGAGTCCAGTGCTTAACCACCATGCCATCTGCTAGGTCCTCCCTTGAGATGTCTTTGGTTA